CGGTGGGTGCATATGTACATATAATAACATCATGTACATATAATACACACTAGGGATTGGCGATATTGTATCAATATTCGATACAATATCGATACAATATCGACAGAAGCCAGTGGCACACGGTGCTTGTTTTCGTGCTGGATGGAAATACTCTATTCTGATTGGTGCGTTTCTGAAAATGGATGGAAATGCACCAATCAGAATAGAGTATTTGCATCCAGCACGAAAACAAACATCGTATGCCATTGGCTTCTACCGACATTACGAATATCGATACAATATCGCCCATTCCTAATACGCACCCACCGCGCGCCCGCCCTGTCGGGCGGGCGAGCGGCACAGGCGGCCAAGTAATGTGTGTGTGTGTGTGTATGTGTGTATGTGTGCGTGCGTGCGTATGTAATTGAATATAACATACAGCTTCCATATTTTCGTCGATGAATCTATACCGCATTTTTGGAACTTCTTTTGTCCATAACTTTTTAATGAAGAGTGACCGCCACCTAAAACTTTTTAAATGTTACTCAGGAGGATGACCTCTATTAGATATGTAAAGGTCAAGGTCATCGGCGAGGTGTCCCCTAATCTGGACTTTTACCATTTTTTTTATAAATGGAACGTAATTTTTGCACACTGTATATGGAAATATGGTAAACAGTACACGTGTACATATACGTCGATATATATTATTTTATTGGATATATTTTACTCATTATTTAAAAAAAAGAGTCAATGCGGTCACCAAAATTTGATTGCTTTTTGAAAATAAATTCCGCGAGGTATCCGTTGTAATGATAAGTGCGTGTTCCATATCGTGGTATTGCTGCTCGCATATCACGCCATAACCTCTCTATATTTTGCGTATGAGCGCCTGTAGCAGGATCAATGAAGTTCTGTTTGTGGTTTACTGTATAATGAGAGTAGTTTGCATTTTGTAGTCCACTGTATGCCTTCCAACTGTCTGAATAAATTGTAGAACCCGGCGCTATATATTGATTTATTATAGGTATAAGAGTTGTTGCTGATCGATCGGGCACAGGAATGATAAACATTTTACCGCTCTCTCGATCTATCCCACCGAAAACCCACTGGCCTTTAACTATACGACCTTTGTTGTATTTCCTTTTCCCGATTTTTGCTTCGTCAATTTCTACAGTAACTCCAGGACCACCTATCTGTTTTTGTCCATTCGTAATCCATTGTTGTAACAGCTGTCAGTACAAAAAAAACCGAAAGCTCCTTTAATATAAACAATTACCAGCGCATATTATTCAATGTGACGTCAATATTTACCTCGCGACAAAAGTTTGTCCAATCAACTACAGTCCTGTCGCAAATCTGCAATTCTTCCATAAGGAAGAATTGTCTTGGAGGACGTATGTGTAAAAAATAAGCAATAAATCGGCACGTTTTTGCCAAACCGAGATGTCCCTTAGCGAACCAAGTATTATGTAAAATACTTATTTTAAAATTACACACTTTTCGCTGCCTTTTCCGTCCGCGTACTTGCTTGTAATATTTATTGGTACAGTGGAGTATTAAGGAATCTGAATCACTCGTGGTATTTATGATGTTGTTGCACCGCGGACATGTTGTGTCTCGTTGAATAACCGCTTTATTACGCAAGTATTCTAAGAGCTCCTGTTCGTTGTGCGTAAGATATAGAAATTCATGCAGTAACATTTCGCGAATATTCTAGCACGTTCTACAACTGATATTATTCGCGACTGAGAACCGACTAATAGAGGATACCGAATTTAACGTTTAGCATTGCTTTATATATTCCACAAATATCTATGTAATGTATTCATATGTCCGATGCGTGATATTTCTGTTTATAAACACTTTAGTTTGATACATATCAACGGCATCAACGTGTGTACACACTACGCAATATACAAAATTGAATACACACAAACACACACACACGTGTGCGTGTGTGTGTAGCAAGCATCTTCTTAGTTTAGAAATTCGATGTTTTTGTATACACGGTGTCTAAAAATTATATTAATTTTATGCAACATTTTTTCTTAATAACTTTTTAATAAACAACGAGCAACGCCTAAAACCTTTTGGATGTTACTCAAAATGATGACCTTGACAACATATGTGAAAATCATTGTCCTCGGAAGGTGGTCCGTTTTTATCAATATTTACCTTGTTACACTCGCGACTGTTTCCGCGAACTCGAGGAAATGAATAAACACGTTGTAGAAACAGAGATATAATTTAATGACAAACTGTGAAACCAGAAAGAATAAGATTCTCATCAGAGAAACACATCTATCTTTTACAATCTCTCACTCTCTACTCTCAGCTGTTGTAGACAACCGCTCCTTAGCGACCG